AGCGCCTCCAGGCATTTTCTCTGCCAGATCAAAGAGTCGTCACAATTCTCCCTTCAAATCCTAAAACATGCCATCTCATAGTTTATAGAGGGGAGAAAGCTAAATGAAGAACGCCTACCTTGGCCTTTTCTAAACGAATCAGAATAACAACATAAGAGCACCACAATAAAAAGACAATAATTTCGCATTAATATTGCACAATTTAATTCTGCGTTTACACAAAGACTTGAAGAGCGTCACAGACTGAAGTTAGCAGGGAATGCCTGAGGTAAAATAACTGTTGTCAGATCCCTTAAACAGCACATGTACACACAGCTTCTGCTTTCAAACGATGCTTTGTTACATAACCAATCACTGCACCTAAAGAAAAAAAAGAGAAAAAGAGAAAAAAAAACACAGTCTGATCTGCCTCAGCTTCATGTTCATCCTGTTTGCCTGCTGATGCTCTACAATAAACGGTAACAAAACAGCGACTGTTTTGGATCCAAATGAAGACAAAAGACAATTTATTGTATATATGTTTTATGTAAGTAATAAAATATTACTATAACATAAATATAAATGTGACTTTGCAGTCTACATTTAGCAATCAACAAACAACCAATGTCATAAAGAAAAAAAAAAAGGAAATCCACAACAAAACCATCGACAGAGCTAAACAAACAAAAAGAGCTCCAAACACTTTTTAAGAAATAAATATTTATATATATAAATGGTCAGATTCATAAATGAAATCATATTAAAATATCTTCTTGGAATTAGTAAGTGTACAAAACTGCCCGGAAAGAAAAAAAAGAAAGAAAAAGAAAAAACAAACAAAAACAATATCTCAGAACAAATACAAGTTTACATATTGGACATATTTACAGATCGGAAATAATCCTGGCAACATTTTCTCTAAAACGTTTCTTTTTATTATTATTTTTTTCTTGAAAAAAAGAAAGTATCCCTCATTAGTGTTGAAAAGCACTGCTGTATTATTTATTTTCATTTTTTATCATTATTTTTTTTTTACTGATCCAACATTGAGAACTGACACAACGCATGAGATTTTCAGATTTCCTTACAAGTCGAAAGAGAACAAAATAAATAGATTTAAAAGAAAAAAAAATCCGTTTTTTTTTCTTTTTCTCCCAGTACAGCCTTCTAAAATAACACAGTCTTTCTATGGAACGAAGGTAATTGGTAGATATGCAATCAGATTCAAACAGCAAATCATGTACAGGCGTGATATATTCTACAGTTACCTGAGTTATTCTTCGGTTTTATTGTTAGACCAAATGTTTTCTTGAAATGTTTTGAGTTTTAGCAGACAGTTTCGGTGACAGAAACAACACTTTTATAAACAAACAATAAAATAATAATAATAATATTAGCGAAAAAAAATAAGTGCTCCATGCAAAGAATATATTTTCTAAAAAGAACAAAAACAAAATGCGAATTTAAAAAAAAAAAATCATAACATACATTTTAGCGTCTGATGCTGTTTGCACATTTCGACGTGATCAGTTGGAAAACTTTTTATGATTATTATTATTTATTTATTATTTTTAAGGCATGCCCTCAGAACTTTAAACGTTCTGTTGCATTGGACTTTAACTGTAAATGTATCTGACAGATGTTTGATTCACGATTTTCCAACACTTATCCACCATCAAGGAAACAGGAAAAACAGCAAACAATAAACAAAAACAAACTGCTCCGATGAGCAAATGATGAGCAAAATTCAAAACACGGTTTGCAGGTAAAGACACTTAAGTTAAAGTATTTGCAAAAAGACAGAAAAATAATTATATTATAATGAAAGTGTGCACTCATATTCAGAAATCTGGTTGAGCAGTTTGAGACTGAAAAAAAAGCACAAAAAAGTTCATTCAGTGTGAGCCATTTATCTCCAGTGTTAATCATTTTTCAGACGACCACCTCATTCTAGTGATGTCCAAGAGTTCATGGTGCACCAGGAGGAGGAGATCGAGTCTAACATTTCAGTACAGCCAACTTTAGATATATTTTTCCTCTCTTTGATTTTGGTAAATAAAACATATTTGCTTCAATTTGAATGCGCATGGAATCAGTTTTAGCGATTTTTTTTCTGTTTCCCTATCATGTTCCCCTCTGATTTTTATATCCGATTAACTTAATCTCCGAAAACTAAAAGGAAAAACTGATCTTGTGTTTTATTTTTTTTCTCTCTTTCTCTCCCTTTCGGGAGAACAAAAGTTCAACTTAAATACTGTAAAACTCCACTGTCCCTTTCCCTTTTTTTTTATCTCTAAATGCTCGGATTGTTCATGAAAACAGTCACTGCACAGGACTCTGTAGTGTGCGGTGTAGTGGAGGGGTCTCTGCCTGGGAATATACGTCCTCCATATTCGGGTGCGGGACCCCCACCGGTGTCATTCTTTTCTCTTTTTGTCTTCTGTTGCAAAACCAAACGCGGACCACCTCTTTTTCCAGCTGCAGAGTGCCAGCTAAAGTGCTGATTTCGTGAGCGGATGGCTTTGGGCATTTCAAGAAGTGGTTCTCCAGCGCCCCTTTCACCCCAACCTCAATGGAGGTCCTCTTCTTTCGTTTCCTGCCCTGCGCGGCGATCTTGTCCAAATTGGTGGGGCTCCCCGTGTTCGAGTCTGTCTCCTCCAGCCACTTGTTAAGCAGTGGCTTAAGTTTGCACATGTTCTTGAAGCTGAGCTGCAGCGCCTCGAACCTGCAGATAGTGGTCTGAGAAAAGACGTTTCCGTACAGGGTGCCTAAGGCCAAGCCCACGTCCGCCTGCGTAAAGCCCAGCTTGATCCGCCGCTGCTTGAACTGCTTGGCGAACTGCTCCAGGTCGTCGGAGCTGGGCGCGTCCTCGTCCGAGTGGTCCTGGTGGTGGCTGAAAGCCTGCTGGGGCGACTCCATCTGGTTATCGTGGCTGCCTGTCTCGTCGTGGAGCGGATCCCGCATGCCGTGGTGCAGGGCGCCCGGCTGTGGACTCAACATCGCGTTGAGATTTGTGTATCCGGGCTGGGAGTAGACGAGCGACTGGTGGCCGTTGGAAGCCGGGGACAGCGGGGACAGGTGGTGCGTAGTAGCGGGCGCCCACGAACCGTGGTGCGCGCTCTGCGTCTGCTGGTGCACCAGGTGAGATCTGTGGTGGAAGCCGCTGGTCAAGTCCTCCCTGCTCGCCTGAACGCCGGCTTTGTGCTCCTGCTGACCGATGTGGGTGCCACTGGACCAGTCGGTGTTGGAGGAGGGCAGCCACTGATGGTGCGTCAGGCTCATCGGATGCCCCGTATTGGTGGCCGCGAGCCCCTGCAGGTACTCGTGGTGCATCATTTTTTGCACTTCTCTATAGGTCGTCCCTTGGTGCATCCTGTCCGAATCCGGATGAATGAGCGGGTTGGACGGTAAGGAGTTATTCCTCGGGATGTACTGAGCTGTTGTCGCCATGGCTCCAACTTGGAAAACTGACGAGCGCTTCGGAGGTCTCCGGGCTTTAGAGCCAAAAACGCAACAACCTGCTCTGGGAGGTCTTCGGGAAGAGCGAAGACACGCCTCCCCTCGGCTTGTATTGGCTCCTCTCCGACTCAAGCCCACTGGAGAGAAACTCAATAGGCGCACGCTTTCAGAGGACGGCGTGCGCGATGGATGGAGGTCCGGTGTTACATATGTTAGAGAAAAAACATATGTTCTACTTATGAAATGTCTCTTTGAGTTTCTGTGCGCACCTGCTCACAGACTCTGCGTGTCTTCTAAATGTTCTCGGTATAGAAGGTGAGCAGGAGCTGCAGCAGCGGGGTCTGATTGGGTTTCCACAGGTTCGGGTCGGTTGTTTTGCAAATAACCACGTGGGGGAGTACGGAGATCTTTCTGAAGGGTTGCCCCCCCTCTGTCTTTATCACACACACACACACACACATACACATCCGCACACACTCACACACACGTGCACCTTTATAATAGGTCACTGATGATTATAGCGCTCCTCATTTTAAACAGATTATAAGGCGCGATCCTCTCCAGCTCTGCAGCCTCCCACACGACGAGAGGCGCGCAAATAAGCTGATGTGATGCGTCTGTGAGCGCTTTAGAAAGAAGAAAATGTGTGACAAATTTGAGAGCATTTGCTCTGTTTCAAAAGCCTCCACGTCTGTCATTTATTTGTATTGTCTCTAGTAATTTTCAGTGTTGTAAGACCTCATCATCACCACCCACTTAGTTATGATAGGCCAAGATGCACGCTCTCTGTTTGGGGCTCTTTTCCCTGACTCTCTGCAGCGTGCAGGTGGAAATGTTAAACAGGAAGTATTCACATTGTTCGGCTCCAGCCCCCATTAAATCTGATAAGCTTATTTGCGAAATATTTGCTACAATGTACATTTAACAACATAGAGCGTAAGGTTTTATAATGTATGTTTATTTGCCCTTCCGTCTCTGCAAGTTTTGAATGTCACGGCAACTCTAACCTCTCCAAAAATACGACAACAATATAGTTAAACTCTTAAAATTGTATTATAGACTTTAGTTTTGGTGTGCCACTCACTATAAGTGACCCCCCACCCCTCCACCCATCCCCTTCCAGTCCGCCCACCGCTTTAAAACTTTCTACACGTGCCCCCAAATTGTAGGACCTTATTTTTAAATTTAGGTGAAATTATTACTTCCCCGTGATCATTATCTATAACAAGACAATCTAATTTAATTTCAACATAATTCCTGACAAGATGTTCTACTCAACTCTTGTAATGTTTTTCAAATATCATTTATCGTTTGAAGCATTGCAACTTAAAGAGATAAATCTCTTGTTTTTTTTTCCTCCTCCTGGCTTACTCTTCTCTTCCTCACCCGGTTGATCTGATTATTTTTCCCTTCACGTTTTGTCCCAATAGCAAATTACCAATTCTATGAATTGCAAAGCAGCCTCAGAGACGCTGAAGGGGTAGAGAGAGGAGGGTGAGGATGTGGTGGTGGTGGGGATGCAAAGATTGAAAGGGATCTTTGCAAACACAATCACGTTCTTAAATGGAAATGCGGGGCTTTAAACAAATCTTACAACTCTCCCCTTCCATTCGCCCAAAACTCTGCAATCAGGCGCATGTTCCGCTCCTTCTAAAACAGGAGCTGCTTTTTGGGGAAGGTCCCATTTTAATCATTCACCTAAAAGCAATGTGGGTTTTTTTTCCCCTCCGTTTTTATCTCACCCCCATGCGCCTGTTCTTTTTTTTTTTTTTTTTTCTTTACAGGAGTTACTCGGCTCTGGTGTTCATTTTAATCCGGGGCTTCATGACTAAACGGTAAGTTGTCTCTTTTTCTGCTGTGGATGCGTCCTCGCTGTACCCTTGTCTCCTACGCTAACAGTGTAGTGTGCATGTGTGAAAGTGTGTGTGAGGGGGTGTGCGTTTGTGTGCAAAATGTTGGCCGGGTCACAGGTGCTCGTCATCATCTCCGGAAAGGCGTGGTTTTTGCCCACGCGTCCTTTATATATTTATTGGAATAAGTGGGGGACACTCTTCACGCGTCTTCATGCAATTTATCAATAAGTAAATCCAATCTGTTACCTCGTGGCGTATGAATTAATATTTTTTTTAAAGAGAGAAATCAGTGATCACTGTGCGACACTCGCAAAACACATTAAAATGCTTAATTGAATGTGTAAAATTTGACGGGGGGTTTCATGGAAAACTGTTATCTGCGATGCAATCATAAAATAAGGCTTTTAAAAATGTAATCAGTTGTTTGAGAAGAGTACGGAAATATTATTTAAATGAGAAAGCAATATATTATATTGATATTTCGAGATATTCCAAGCAGCAAACTTCTTGGAATCTGTGCGTAAACCCCCTGAGAGATCCAGCGTGTCGCTTGCTCTGAGGGACCCGCAGCTCCACGCAGCTCACAGTTAATAAAGACGCGTTTGCCATTCAGTCACTCTTGTCTCCTCCAGTCTATAAAAAGCGCTGGTTTCTGTCACACAGACCCAGGCTTGTGCTTTGCCATGCCAGTGACGAGCTGCTGGAAAAGAGAAAAGCTCCAGATGCTTTGGGCCCTTTTTTGCAGGGGGAAGAATACGGCCTTGTTGTTGCGCTGAGGTGCATTTTTGCCAGGACGCACAAGGTTTCCATGGTGCGCCCGATGAAAGGGGATCACACAGAACTCAGCTGTGAAGGGACGGGCCGCTCAGGGAAAAGACGGCTGCAAATGAGCGCGATATGATGGGCTGAAAAGAAAAAAAAAGTGAATAAAGGATGAAATTACAGAGCGATCCGAGTGTGAACCGCGGAGATGAGTGTTGAGGAAGTTGAGTGACCTCCTTTAGGAAAAATAAGTGTTCTTTGTATCTATATGACATCATGATTTTTATGATTTATTCTTCACTTTTTTTTGCCAGTTTTCCCTATGATACAGATGTGGGAATGCGTTACAGAAAATGAGAAAAGCGGAACGAGTTCAGACTTGTAATCCAAACTGCATGTTACGTTTTTATGTCCAAATTATAGTTTCGATGTATTTTGCATCAATATTTCAATTAGGCATGCAACTATTTTCCAGTTAGGAAATTTAGAAAGCGTCAATCGTCTCTTAACTTATACCTTATTATAAAGCAGTAATTGTCAGGAGACAGGAAGTTCCTCTCTCATTTCCCGTCTGCTTTGGGATGTGCAGAGAGAAAAAAACACGATAAAAGCGTCTGAAGAGTTTCTAAAACTGTCTTTGCATTTTCTGACATTTTCAGATAGACGATAAAAAAAATAACACTGGAAGGTGTCAATCAATTTTAAAATAACATGCAGTTTCTGAATTTGCGGCTTTTAAACCGGTTTTGACGCGTAAATCTCTTTTAATTCAGACCAGTGGCGTCTCTAAGGGGGGTCGGATGGTGGGGGCCGGAGGCTTTGGGGCTACAATCTCTCGCACTAGCAAGACGTCTTGTTAGAGAAGACATATTATTTATTTATTGATATCATATTTTGCTTCTTTTATTTTTAAAAATTCAAGATTTTACATAATTATTTTCACTTTTTAAGTAAATCATAATAAACAAAGAAGCAAATTTAAACCTGTTACGCATAAAGAAAGGAAAAGGAAAAGCAAATTTACCACTGACAGATGTACGTTTCTCAAATAAATTGCCCCTTTTAGTGCCCAGTTTCAGATTAGATTCATTCAGTGGAGGATTTGAAAATTCTTGGAAAACATATGTACAACAGTCTTGTGCAGGTCTAAGCATTTCATTCCAATCCAGTACAGCTGAAAGACCAGTCAATAAAACTAGTTTTTGGCATTTGGATACAATAGAAGTAAAAAAAAAGGAATTAAAGTAGACATTCAAAGAAAAAATAGGCATCTGGTCAGAAACTGCCAAAATACAACCATATAGGTAGACTTTCTAAGACCATAGGACAAAAGGTAACCATAGCCCCCTGGGAACAGAGTATGTTGAGGGTCTGCCAAGAGGCCCACTCTAGTTGGTCCCCTTGAGCTCCAGCAAGTTCTAGGAATGTAGTAGAGATTCATTGCAACATCAGAATAAAACTCCTCAATTTATCGTATGACTTTCAGTTTTGGTGTGCTACTTCATGATTATAAGTGCCCCCCAGCCCCCATCCCCCGGTCTGGTCACCCCTTTTCAAAACTTTCTGAAGGGATCCTTGATTTGTACTCAGCCTCACTGCAGATCAATAATCCTTTTTCGTATTTCCAGGGGGAACATTTGGGGCAGCAGCAGGAGCGTGTTTAGATGTTAAAATTCATGCAATGTACCTCCTGCAGACAGTGGAATAATATCCACCAAGTCGTTCAATCAGATAATTGTATTTTGTTTTTGCTGTTTTTGACAGACATGCGTAATAGGCACTAAATATGCAATCGCCAAAAGAAAAAAGCTGCTTGTAGGCCATCCATTTTGAACACTAAATCGTCCTGTTCTTTTCAGGTAACTTTTTTCCTCTTTCTTTTTTGGCTAATGAACTTGGGCTACTCTGCCAGCATCCCCTTGAGAATGCAGCTAAGGAAGGGGGGTGTGTGTTTCTCTTGTGGTAAAAGGTGCGAGTTTCTTCCTCTATCTCCCGGCTAATTAGGCGGGGTCTGAACACGCCAGAATGAATATTCATGAAAACCACCAGTGCGCAATTAGTAGAGGAGAGAGTTCCCAACTTCAATCCCAAAACAACGCATGGCTCGCAGAGGAAGCGGGCTAGAGTTCCCCCCTCCTGCTCCATGTGTCTCTGCTGCCGGAGCGCTCTTTGAGCCCTCAACTTGTACTCGCAGAGCTTATCAGGTGGTCTCCCATTCCCCCCCACCCTCCTCCTTTTCAAAGCAGCCACCATCATAAGTGTTTGGACCACTTCATTTGAATCTCCATGTTGGGAATAACAGATAATCCAATTAGATTTGTCAGGAACCTCTGAGGTGGCCTAAACAGAAAGTCTTTTTGTGTGATGCAAGCTTTTGGAGATCTTTGGATTCACCTTTTAACACCTAGAATTTATTTAAAATGATTGTTTTTAAATAACATAAAAACTTTACAATAGGTCAGTGATTGTGATCAATAACAATCGCCAGTCCAGATCCTATCGATACCTTATCATTACGGCATTCTCAAGTGAACCTCAGTCAACAGCTGCATCAGAGAGACCATGGCACGCTGTAAATAATATCTTGAAAAAAAGTAATTCGCTTCAAAAGCAAGAGAACAACGTATCTGTAAGTCATGTCAACAAACCACAAACTGGAACCTATAGATTCATGTTGTTAGCAAAAAGTCATACCAAAATAGAAAGGAAGCAAACTAAGACAGGCCTAACAAACATTTAAGTATGTATCCACAGGCTATGTGGGAAGTTAGCTAGTTCACAAAATGTCACCAAAACTACATCTATGTGAAACTGCTAAAATGCTATGGAAATTTTATGTCAATAAGTCAAAAGATTTTATTTCACAAAAAGGATAGCTTCCTGCATATAACACACATGGATTATTCTTTAGTTACAAAATGTACTTCAATAACTTAAACATAACTTCTTTTGACAAATCTTCATAATTACAAATAGATCCAGCCAAGGCCACTAAAAATATACATTCACAGCAGCATGTTGGATTATGACGTTATTTTTCTATATTTTGGATTTTCAAACAGGTAGATTCGAAAAACTTTCCAAAACAATAAATAATTAAATATATCCTACTAAACTGGCTCAAAATTTTTATTATTAAATTATTGACATTTTGTATACAAAATATTTTTGTAAGACCTATACTATGAAAAGTAACATACAGATACAAATTGTTTTGGAAAAACAGGATGGAATTGCAGAAAAAGAAAAAAAGCACAACCAGTTCCATAGGAATGCTGGTGTAAGCAGCTTATTGAAAACAGGCTAAGCGTCAGCCTGGAGTCTGACACTTAGCCTGACACCAGGCTAAGAGTCAGAGAAATTTCTGGAAACCTATGAGTTTTACTTCTTTCTTTTTTTCTTTTTTCTTTTTTAATATTTTAGTGTTGTTGCACACTAAGGTCAATTTGCTTATTCATTCTGGTGTCCAAAGAAATATGCCTTGCTTGGTGAGGCATGAAAAAGATAAAGTCAAAGTTAATTAAAAAAAAACTAAAGAGTGTCTTATGGTCACAAACAGACAATTGTATTCGCCAAGTTTCATTTTCTTTGCTTATGGGGTGTAAAAAGAGGTGGATTAATCAAACTTGTCTTGGTTGATAGCTGTCTCCAGTTTTCTTTGAGATCTGACCAATTGATTTCATATTTTTCAAGATTTGCAATCTTTGGCAAACTGATGTGAGCACATTTATTAGAAAACATTTCCTTCTCACTAGTTGTTCTGGAACTTATTTAGAAATCAGATTTGGACATGCAATTTGAAAGTCTATACTTTAGATGCACACTTTTAGGCACCTTCTGACGACAACATGCCCCTATTTCAAATCCTTTGAATTACCAAAGACGCACACATCTGGACTCAGAGCCTATAAAGCCTCAGTCTACCTGTCTGTGTCATGCCAGTATGAGCTTCAGCCCATGCGCCTTGCTGCCTGTTCGTCTGCCCACCGAGGACCCCCAATCCTCTGATTTGAATTCAAGGTGATTCTTATCCCCTACCCCCTCCTGGCCCGGCGCGTTTGCCTCTCGCCTCCATAAAGACGTGTTTATGTATGTATGTATGTGCAGAGAAGAGCACGAGGAGGTTTTTCAAGGGTTGGGGGGGAGATAAGCAGAGGAATTTGAGGCCGGTGAATATGGATGGGGTCCCTGCTTTCAGAGAGCGCTGCTGATAGAGAGGTAAACAGCTCCTGGCCAAGGGAAGGAAGGAGAGGAGTAGGAGGTGGAGGGATATGCTTGATGCATGCACCGGCATACATCTGGGGCTCTAACTCCCTTTCTTTCCTTCCCTGTCATTCATTCTTGATCATCAAGAGCTATCTGTCATTATTTCTTTGTCGTACTTCCTTCTGGACGATCTTGTGGATTTGGATGATGGGTTTCCACTATCAATGCGCAGGAAGTTGGAGCTTGTAAATCTGACTTATGGCTCAGAACTTGCAAATTTCACACTATAAAGAATGTGTTTATCCAGATCAGCAGAATCAGTTCAGGTAAAGGTGCCAGTTCAGTTGTTTTGGACGATGTATATTTTATTTCGATATGAACTCAAAGAGAGTCAGCAAATACCCGTGTGGGTTCCACATCAGAATTTATTTTGGGAACTCTCAACAAGTTCACCACAACTCAACTAAAATGTTCTACATAAAATCAAAGTTTGATATTTTGAAATGTTGTGCATTACACATTTAATATAATGAGTATTAAACCTCACTTTAAAAAATAAATCAACAAAAGTAGACTATACATTTATTTAGTTATCTCATTGTGGAACTGACTTGCATTATCTGGAGACACTTCATAGCAGATACACTTCACCATCTTACAACCTCTTGTTCTCACTTCTTGAACTTTTTCATAATGCAATGACAGCAATATATTGTACTGCATTGAGAGTTTAAGTGACAAATAAATGCAAGTAGTGCATAATTGTGAAGAGCAAAAATATAATAATGCATAGTTTTTTGTTCAAATTATTGATAGATAAATCTGAAAAATGTTTTGCACAAATGTTTTAATTACCATTTACACTGAAACCACTGAATAAAATCATTTACAACCAACCCGAAGTTACTCGAATAATAGATAGAACCCACATGTATATGAATTTCAGTACAATTACAGCTGTTAGTGAAGGCCTCACATGTTTGGAAGATGTCATTAGTGATCAAACAGCTTCATAATGACCAAGGAACTATAGGTGTAAGAAAATATATGGAATTATGAGCCACAGTTTGAATAATAAAAGAAATCTCAAACTTTGAATATCTCAAAGATCACTGTTCAATCTGTCACGTGAATTGTACATTGCACATCTAAATCAAAGTATGAAAAGCTGATTGCAGACAAGGGAGGAGGTTCATTTCTCAGTACGACACGACTATGTGTTGGTCTTGTCTTATGAAAATCACAATAACATTAACGGAAATTTATAGTTGTGACAAAACTGAGAAAGTTTAAGGGATATAAATACCTTATAAGATACTGTCTGTAAATACCTATAGCTCTTGAGAGCAGACAGCGGTTAAAATATCCACTTAACATTTATTCAAAAAGCAAATTCAAGATCAGTTTTTGTTCATTCCTAAATATGGACACACACGACTTAATGTTATATAAACAATCTTGTAAACAGTTATCAGTCATTTAGCAGATGTCAGCCTACATGGATTTCCACCCATGCAGGCTCACATTGAAAACATAATACCAAAGTTACCCGAACAAGAAATAAACATATGTAATGTTTTTAAAAATGTGTTTAGATCTTTGATATTTTAAATATATTCATGATCAGTCCTTCTGCAAATATCCTTATGTATGCCAACATGTTATTTATTTTGTATATGCGTTTTTCACTGGAGAAATACATCAGAATGCATCACACAAAATTTTAGTGGTTTTACATTTGCTAAAAGGAGAATATTTCTATTAATTTTCTTTCTTAAATTTCATATTTTAAAACTGATTAACTATGATCCACATCAATAGAGAACATATAAAATACTCCAGTCCACTCATTACAGTGGTCACTATGCCGATAAAACCCCTGAATTCAGAAAATGTTTGTTTTTGTGTGTGGAACTGTAAGTCCTGTGTTTTTTCCTAAATTTTTTAAGTGTACTTCTAAGAAAAACTCAGCATTTAAGGGCTAGAAAGCCATTCCCCTTTGCTGTCACCTTCCCTTCAGAAACAATCGAGATGCCTTTCCCCTTGGTGTCGTATAGGTTTAAGGGCTAAGAATGAGGGGAAAGAGGTGAATTGGATTTAGTGTCTTTTCTCTTCTGCCTTTATCATTAAAGTCCAGGACGCTGACTACCTTTTTCTGTCTTCTTGTCTCCCTGACAGGCCCCGCAGTGCTGAGCTGCTTACCAGCATGGAGGCCACGACCCCAAACGGACGCTGTAGGAGTGAGTGAATGTATCTTGCACATACTGCCCCGGTTTTTTACTGTATGTGCAAAAATTCAAATGTAAACTGGGCAGGTTCTCATCTTCACTCAATTTAATTTGGCGTTCTTATCTTATCAGGTGTAGTCTGCGAGTTTTCCATCTGCTTGATGTCATGATTTTACGTGTTCGTGTTCTTATCCTCTGAGTCACAGTGGTGCAAGTTTTTCCTAACAGTTCTTGTTCTTTCTGCTGCACAATTAAACAGTGACTAAACTTAACTTTATTTGAAGAGGAACATCTTTTTTGAGTGCACTCATGTTCCACATGTAGCCCTCTTTGGCCCCGACTTTCCTCTGGGGCGACCGCTTAGGTTTACTCCACTCGATTGCTCTCTTGGCCACTACTCAAACACAGCTTTGCTTTCTCAAACACACACACACTCCAAACACACACACTCAGGAGAACTTCCACACTAAGGCCCCACCGCAAAGTTATTAATGAGCTGTTTAATTTTAATTAGATAGTAATTCATGTTAATGCCTGCTTAATGGAGCCAAATAATTCCCCTCGGTCACTCGGGGTCTTTATGCTTCATTTACCAGCCCCTGCAGTTATTCTCTGGCTTTTGTTTTTATTTTACATTTTCAAATTTTTTTATTTATTTATTTATTTTTTGAAGCCGTGTGTGAAAGATTAAACAGTCAAAACAGGAAACATATGGGGTGAGTGAAGTGTGCGTCTGCTGAGAGTGAGAACCAGCACCCATATGTTTGTGCTCATTTTACTTTAATGGGTGTGTGTCTGTGTCAAATGTTGAATTTCTCAGACACACTAAGACACGCACACAAACACGCACATACGCATACACACTGACCAACAATCCACTACAGTAAATTGCTTAACATCAGCGCTAAGAAAAGGTCAAAGTCGGTTTTGAAGGCTAAGAAGGGTTAAACCCTCAGTTTGAGGTGCAGCTAACCAAGAGAGGTTGTGACCTTTTGTCCATGCCAGACCTCAAGGTAAATCACTCCTGCCTGCTGTTGTCGTGCCTGTTTCTACTCCTGCTTCTCGAACGAAACGTCCTCTCCAGGGGTTCAAACATAAGGCTGCAAATAAATAACCATAGTAGCTAAAACTTGTTTGAGTTTGAGTGAAAAGGAGTGGCGAGTTTGTTTATTTTGTGTCCAGTGATTTGTGGAGGAATATTTCCTGAACATTACATCTAAAAGTTTAGATATAGAAGATATAGAGTGAGTATGTAAAATCCTTTGCCGTAACAGCTGACATAGGTGAACCATTTTTTCCACCAATGCCTGTACATTATTTAAATATTACCAAAAAAGCTAAATCTTTGCAATGCCAGTTTAAAAAAAAATATTAGAACCCTTAATGTAAAATAAACATACAAATTATTTGGTGTATTTTTATTTTTTTTTAAAGAACATTTTGGCTCTAGGGGCCTTTATTTCACAATAGATTGACAGAAAAGTGGGTTATGGGAGATGGAGAAGACATGGGGCAAAGGTCAGTGGGCCAGGACTCAAACCTGTGATGGCTGTGTTGAGGACTGAGGCCTCCGTGCGTATGTCGCTTCCACCGCTGCACCTTTTGAAACCCATCCACTGACCTGTAGTCGGTCCATTTTCTATTTGTGCAACATCTTTTTGCCCGATGTATTTAAAACTCTACATCTTTGAACTGCTACATTTAAACAGATGGGCCTTCCAGATTCTTTGCTTCATAGTTGACAATGCAGTCATACTTGCATGAGTTTGTGTCAAGTACTTTTGCACATTTTTTGTTGTTGCACTAATCAACTACCCAAAGAGCTTGTGACATTTATATCCAGGCCAGACCTCAAGGTAGATCTCTCCTACTTCTTGTTGTCACATTTGTTTCCACTCCTGTTTACCCAATAAAGGCATTAATTTTATGCCTTCCCTACAGAGGTTCAAACATAAGGTTGCATAGGCGTGATCGCAGCAGCAAGACCCTTTTTGTATGTGTGTGTGTGTGTGTGTGAGAGAAACAGGGTAGTCCATGCCTCTAAGGCTGTCTCGGTTCTGTCTGAGAGACTTGCTTCTAACAGACCACTAAGCTGAGTGGCTGAATTGAGTTAGTGGCTACAGACAGGCTTTTAATTGTTGATTGACCAGTCTGAGTGCTGCCTGGGCTGGGGTCACTGAAGAGAACAGACAGTGAGGTCCCAAGGCCCCAGCTGTAATTTTAGCCACGTCTCCCCAAAGCAATGAGGAGAGGAGAAAAAAAAAAGTACAGCGGAGAAAAAGAGCAGGGCAGTAAGGCCTCAATGAGAGGAACAAACGAGAAACAAGAAGTTGGTAAGAAATTAATTATTTTCCGTTAATTTTTCCTACATAAAGTTTGATCACCAGAGTCATAAAAATCCTTACAGGTGAAAAAGTTGGAGTTGCTGCGAGCAGTGTGGGATCTGAGCTCCACAGAGCAGCATCTTCAGTCCCCACCGTTCCACAATACCTCCCCTCCTTCATCTGTTTGATGATTACAAATTTACTTTGTACCCGTTCCATCCACTTCTTTGCTTCTCCCTCTCTCCCCCCTTCTTCCTTTGACCCTCTTTCCTCTAATTCTGCATGGGGGGCAGCAAAAGCCCATTTTGGTGTTTTAGCGGGTTAGCTCATCTCTCCACTCCTCCCCTCTCCTCCACGTCTCCTCCTCCACTTCTCAGCTCACAGCAGGTGCTCCTCCTCAGCTAACATTTGTTATCTCTAATCCTGCAGGTTCGGCGCACAAAAAGAGCGTAGTAAACTCTCTCTCAGACCTAATCCCACCACTCCTTTTTTGATGGCACTCCCCCTCGCCCTCCTGTCCTTTTTTTCTCCCTTCACTATCGCTTTTTTAGACTGCCGGAGAGGGTGGGGGGACACTCCACTTCTGTGATTGCCACATAGCTTTTTATCACCGCGGCCTTCAATTTTGGGGGGCAGCTGTTGGTAGTGGGGGATTTCTTTTTTTTTTCCCAGTTCTTTATACCTCTGATTCCAGCTCTCTTTTTCCTTTCTCTCTCCTTTTGGGCCCCCTTCTCCTTCTCTCTCTGTGTATCATTTACAGTCATTTTCTGGCAATTAAAATGGAGCGCTGCTGCAGGATTTTCGCCTGCAGTGCAACACTACAGTGCTGATGAATAATTCTTCACCCTGCAAACTGGAAAGCTAGCCTTTCTTTCATGTCGCCCCTTTGTTGATTTACCATTAAAACTTACTGCACCGTGCTATGAGCGGAGGACCCAGCTCTGCGGGAGCAGGCAAAAAGTAAAAATGAGGATAAAGCAGATACGAGCACATGTGCTCCAGGGTCTTTTTCCCCAGCCTAGAGTGAGGAAGCCTCTCAGTTACATGAGTGTGTTGTCAGTGTTTGTGTTTATAGTTTAGATTTATGGTGCATGGGGCTTCTTTATTTATGTCCACTGTCTTGTCCTGTACTACTTAGGTTTTATGTTAATTTTTCTTATCGGTGGTTTTCATTATGGGGCCTCGCTGCATTGTGTGAGTGATTAGGCGGTCATTCATCTCTGTTTCTTCCTCAAACACACACACACACGCACACACATACTCACTCACACACAAACACAGTATGAGCAGTGACTGATGTATGGATGGAGTGAGTGGGGTGCTCCGGGTGCAGAGGCAGAGTGGTGTTGGCAGTATGTTAAATGATGTGGGTCTCCAGGCCAGCAAAGCTCTGGGCTGTTTTCTGTTCTCAGACTCATCACCGTTTTAAAGATTTTTTTTTTCTTTTTGAATAGCTTTCTTGGCCAGACAAAAAGTATAAATGTGATATTCTTAAATATGTCTCAAAAAGTAAAAATAAATATCAAGCTTAGTAAGCACATCAAAATAGAAATAGCAAAAAAACAAAAAAAAAATCAGCTGAAAATTGATGGGTTTGATTGTAAATTGGTCTGAATAAAGTGATTTACAAGTGTATGCCTTTGCAATTTAACTCACAAGTTAAAAATTCCTATTTTTCTCCTTTTGCCCCAGCTATCAACTAACTACACACACAGCATTAGTTTTATCCTTTTTATCTGTCCACTGAAGGTCTTCCTTTTTAGATATGAATGACAAACTTGTAGCGCTCCACGTTATAATTCCCTGCAAATGCAGCAAGAATTAACAAATGTAATGTGCTAAGGCAGTGTTTTCCTCCCATCACTGGCATTGCACGATAAGTAGTTAGTGTAAAATTATTTTCCTTCTGTTTGTTAAAAAGTTAATTTCTTCTCCATTTGGTTACAGAGAAAAAGACTCAAAAATGTTTTATTTGCCGTTAACTAAACACTAGACACTAAAATATCTACATGTTGTAAATTGAGTAAAAGCAAAATTAGACAGACTAAAAAAAATAAATGAAACAAATTTTGTAGAGATAATCTACACCTCCAGAGCAAAAGTTGTTCCTTTAGTAGTTTAATTTTAGAAATCATCATTAATCAAACAGAAATCATTCAAAATAAAACTGCTGTTCAAATGTCTCATTTTCATCACTGGAGTGCTTTATTCTCAAAATGTCTCCATTTTTTCTATGAAACACAATTACCTTGTGAAATAATAGCAATATACAAATACATAACTTTTCCTTTTTTTTTTTTAATGAAACATATTTTAAAATTTAAGAAAAAGTTTCTAATTTCAACCAAACTGTACCCTCTGGGTTAGAACTTCAGAACTAAAAGATATTTTTGTAGCAGTGAAAGTGAGTTTCAGGTTGTTTAAATTCATTCTATCTTTATTCAAAGTAGAAGATATTATATGACCCCTGAAGCGAAAATACAACATAATTGGCTTCATTTCAAACTATAGCTCACTTATTACGATGCCGTTGGTAATCTTGGTGGCTTTTTGGCATGGCATGCTCCTGGTGGTGCATTTAATGTAAATGAGACATGATATCAATGCTATGAAATTAATTCATAATCAGATTGACTTAAGAGTATTATAATATGACCATTGAGCTTAGTGCACAATTTGTCCCACTTATTTTCACCTAGGCCCCAAAACTTTCTCACCGCTGACTGACAACATGTGGCTGGGCCTCCAGGGTTACTGTCACTAGCTGTTCTTTACACTACTTTATAGGTATATACAAATGCATGAACAGTAAAAGCATGAGGTGGAAAGTGATGCTTGTTGTGTTGATTTTCTTGAGTAAAATACGCAATCAGAAAGGAAGAGGTCAAATCTGTGCTGGAAAACTTTATTTAAAAAGTAAAGTAGTATAATAAGAGGAACTGTTGTTGTGGTTTATTATTGGTACGCAGCCTTATTTATCTACTAGGCAGTTACTTTAACCAAAAACTCTTTACATGGCCCTTCCAAACTCAAAAATGACATAGATTTAAACGTTCATAATTAGGTTTCACATAAACTGTGGTCATGTTCATGAGAATGGAGCAGTTTTAGGTCAGCAGGACTTAGTTGTGTATGTGTTGGGTCTTCCAGGAGTATCCGTTAGTGCCATCCTCTGGATTAATACTAGATGAGGATGCGAGGAGAATCTTCTGCTGTAGGTGTGATGCAAACTGTTTAACACCTGTTAATGGGACTGTACCTTAGAAAAATTATGAACTGTCCTTATGATTTATTGTCTTGATTTATTTACTTTTGCAAAAGAGAAGAATATATTCAAAGTTTTTTTAACTTTAATAATGACAAAAAATGAATAAGAAGAAACAAAGTTTAAGAAGCAAAGCAGCATCAAATGGGGGGAAGGTTTTTTTTTTTTTTTTTTTTTTTCTGGAGCCTACATGGGAAGAAGTGTCTTCTTGTCATGTAGTTATCCCCCAGTCAGTTATTAGGATTTCAGCACACTGACCAGCAAATACAAACACACACTCGGTCACATCCACTGACACACATGCGAACACGCAAACACACACACACACACACACACACACAAGCATGCAGCAAGTAAACAAACACTATTTTTCACACTGTCACACTCACATGGACACAGTCATGCACTGAAGAGATAATGGTGGCCAGAGGCGATCTCGGTGCACTCACTCTCTCTCCCTCCGTGTCTCAGAGGCAGCGAGTGTGCTCCAGTCCTCACTGTCTGTTAGATTTGATCACCATCACCCAACTGCAACGGACAGCATGCAGCTCAGCTCAGCTGACGGCTCATTGCAACACGCACACATGCACCCAAACAGCCACTGTGCCAGAGGATATTACATGTAGTGTCTGACACCTCTAAATAAGTGTTTACTCTTTCTCTGGGTGTGTCAGTGAGAGTGTGTGTATCTGTGCATGTGTATTTGCCTTTTGCATTTTTTCCCCTCTATAGTTACCTTCCCATCTAGGACTATGAGTTTGTGTTAGTGTGTTTGTGAGGGAGGAAACAACACGTCAACGAAATGTACCCAAAATGATCATGAGCTATTTCTGGCCTCTACATGACTTTCTCCCTTATCAGCATATAATTTTGTGCACCTTTTCATATCAATCAAAAACATTCTCATTACATATTTAATCAAGTAAAGGACGATTTATCTGTATAATGATCAAGCAAAAAAAAAAAAAAAAAAAAAAAAAAAAAAAAAAAAAAATTTAATCAAATTTTGTTGTGAATGTGTCATTTGTAGAGATTTGAGGTCAAAGAGTTTATTGTGAATACAGTTCACATTTGTATGTTTATATTTTATTCTAAATAACATGCATAACTCCAAACTATGAAATTGCAGATAACCATCATCGTGACATATTCAGCTTTGACAGACGAGAAGCATTGAGCTGTTTGTGTGCATTTGTGGGTGTGTTTGTACCCACGTGCATGCACGTATCACAGTCTGTCTGCAAAGAGATTTTAATAAGACAGAAAAGAGGGGGTACAGTAAATCCTACATCTGAGCAAGCCCATCTCTGAGACCCGAGGGTGCCGTGCCATGATTGACAGGCCTCCTTTCACCGGCGCTGTCGGACGCGGGATGGATTAGGGCCGTCTCGCCCTAAAGGGCCATTGTGGCTCCACGTCTCCCAGCTGCTTCACTGCTCACCCCACTCCATGGCTGAGGAGGGGCTCCTGCAAGTGTGTGTATTAGGATGAGATGGTTCACATGGCATCGGCTTGCCTGACCTTCTGCTGCAATTCTCTGAGCTGTTAGAAGCGCACGATATAGAGAAATATTCTAAAGTACTCCTGGCCCTTGAACTTTTTCACTTTTTGTTACTTTACAACCTCCAGTGTCAGAGTATTTTATTGGGAGTTTGAATGCTAAACCAACATAAAGTTCAATATAACTGTGAAAAAGGACCACTGCATGATAGCTGCAGTTAAATGTTTAGAATAATTGTCCTGCTTGACAGAAACTCTGTCCGGGTTTAAGAGTTTTTGCTGCTTTCAATAGGTTTTTTTTTTCCTAATATTTTCTTGTATAAAGCTCCAGTCATTTCCTCTAAACACTGACCAATTTTGCTGACCCTGCTAAATAGAGTATTCCCTCAGCACCATGGTATCTCGGTTTGATGTGCCGTACTAGCTTTCTTCCACAAAATGTTTTTTGTGCATACCTGATAAAATTAAATCCTGGTTTCATCCAACCAGAGCACCCTCTTCCACATGTTTGCTGTGTTCCTTACTGAACCCATTGTTGAATCCTAGTGCTTTGCTTTATATTTTCTAATAAATTCCAAAACTTGTACAATGCAATGTGTCACTGTAAAGTGAAGAAGTTAAAAAAGTGTCATGGTTGGACAAGCAAAAAAAGTTTTAATTTCTGCATTTCGACTTATACAATAAAAACCTAGATTTGAAAACTTTAACAAACTTCAGAAAGAAACTTTGTTTTCAGTACTCAGTCTAGTATATTTTTAAGCAAAATTTAAAAGGTACTTTTTTCAGGATTTTTACATGTAAACTCACACCTACCAGGAGAACATATTTCAAATCCTTTTTAAATATCAAGACTAATATGACAGGTAGTAGTAAAACTGCTGTAAATCCCAGGTGTGTTGCTGTGGGTGCCGGCACCTTTGCCTCCTCTCTGGTGAGGATGAAAGGGGCCATAACTCCAGATGGGCTATGCTTAAATCTTAAACTACTGACATGATTGCCACAGTGATTAATTGCTCTGGTTAAACTGGTTTTGCTGCCTCTTTAAGTCTGTCCTAGGTCATAAAAAATATTTGGTGTCAAGTAAAATTTATTTTGGACGTTGGAGATTTGTCATGTATTCCTCTATGTGATGTTTTCAACAACATGAATGCACTTCTAATAAAATGTTATTGTTGAAAATGTAATAAAATCATATTATCATTAAAGAAATGAATAGCTTCAGATTTTGGCGTATCAATTTCCATATTTTGCAAAAAATAAAACAACCAACAGCCACATTTAAAGAATATATATTAGTGTTAAAAATGTGTTGTAAGATTATAAAAGCAATTAGTGCGTTCGGTGTTATGAAATGCAAACTTATAATATTGAAGGTCAGTCATATCATATGTCAGGAAGAAATATGCTTTTTGCATATGTAACTGATAATTAAATTAAGTACAGATGTACAGCATTGACACTGATAGCTACGAGAATCTTCTTCTTCTACTTTATCTGTATTTTGTCTCATGTTGGTGATCTTCATCAACATGTAATAACGTCACTTTTTTAAGCCAACAACTGTCAATTGTAACCACTTACAAAAAACTGAGAATCACTCTGGATTCATGTTCCAAACATTACTGATATTACTACATTAGGCTGAAACAAAAGTTTTATGTCTGCTGTGGAATTGCATGTCAGAACAGATTACATTTTAATCCTTTTTCTGTAAAAAAAAAAAAAGATATAGTTCATTTCAGCTCTATTTGCCTCCTGTCGAAATGAAGCAAATTAGACAGCAGGCAGA